TCCGTGCAAGAAGTGTTCAATTATTTTTACTAGTATACATGACTGTTTTTTTCTCAAATACTTTGGCTTTTGATTTGTGCTAGTATTCCTTTTGGTTGTCTTTGTACCAGTAAGATGACATTTTATCTTTAGTAGTTCTTCTGCTAGGACAGTACTAGTATATTATGTCAGTAAACATGTGGTGTCCCGCTGCATTGAGAACTTTTTCCAATAACTTTTTATATAAATGTAATGGAATTCTGGTGGTTACTGGAAGATCAGGTTAAATGATGTTTTCAGATGTTATGCTGTCATAGTAGGGAAGTATGGAAAAAAGATAACACTGTTTTTGAATCAGCTAGCACTTAAATGCATATACTCCATTTGGTAGGCTTTTTGGATTATGTTATAAATGATATTCTCCCTTTAATTTCTGACTTACTGCTGACAGATATGTTTATCTGTGCCATTCAGTACTCAAAACATCTGCCTTCAACTTTAAAAGTCTCTATTTTAAGGCAACAGTAACTTGCTTATCTATCTTTTCAAGTTATCCCATATCATACAAAGGGAATACTCACAGCTTTCTTTCTTATACAAATGCTCTTTATTGTTACCTTCTGTTATAAAGAAGTGTTAGCACCACTGTTGAAAGCACGTCACACATTCTTTGTACATAACTGCTGATTTTTTAAATGTGTATCTCAGCCAGCTGATTAATTTTTTTAGTGTATTTCTCAGTATACATTCCATCTCTTTATTTGCTTTTTCATGCAATTTGAATGGAAAACTTCAAGGAAACATACATTTTTGAAAAATTTGCACTGGCATAAGTTTCTCCTGTATAATCACCAGCAGTCTCTTTGTGTCTCCTGAGAGGGGACATATGAGTGGTTTGCTAGATTTATGATGTCTTTTGGAGGGGACAGCCCAGTGCAAAGGGTTAAATATGGTCAGTTCAGACTGAGATATTCTGTAAGTATAACATACACACTGGATTTTCAATATTGAGGATGAAAAAGAGAATGGGGCAGCCTCTTTCAAGTCTCCTCCTGCTGTGGGAGCTTTTCTGTCATCTTAACAAATCCTACTTTTTAAAAAAAGGAAAAAGTGCCGGGCTCGGTGGCTCAGCCTGTAATCCCGCGCCTTTGGGAGACTGAGTTGAGTGGATTGCCTGAGCCCGCGGTTCGAGACCCGCCTGGGCAACTTGGTGAGACCTCATCTCTACAATAAAAATTAAAAATCAGCCGGGCGTGGTAGCACATGCCTGTAATTCCGGCTACTTGGAAGGCTGAGGCGGAAGGATCGCCGGAGCCCAGCAGGTCGGGGCTGCAGTGGCCGGGAGCGGCCATTGCACTTCAGTCTGGGTGACAGAGTGAGACTCCATCTCAAAAAACAAAACAAAACAACAAAAAAAAAAGAATGAAAAATATCTCATTAAATTTTTAAATATTGGTTACATGTTGATAATGCTTCAGATTTTTAAAAAGCTAAAATTAATTCAGCTTGTTTCTCTTTAGATATGGCTACTGCGATCTGTGGCTTGACTATATTTTTGTTACACAGTATTGATCTAAATCTCATCTTAAAGGCCCAGATCAGTTTTTCATCGACTAATAAACTTTTATCTTCTGAATTATAATACCAATCTTCTTGAACATTTATTCCATACCCCTGCGCCTCTCCTGTTTTAATATACTAAGCTTCTTCAAAGTCAGGATAACTCACCATAGTGCCTTTCATATAGTGGACACTGTATATATTAGATATGCACAGGCCTGCATATCTGACTTGGCTAATATTACCATTTTATTAAAGAGGATACTTAACAGAAATTGATGCCTGTTGTGATGTTTTTGCTTAAGTTGGTGGGCATTGGGGGAAGTGGGGGAGAGACATTAGTCTTCTCTAGCCTTTAAAATCTGACACTTTTAACATCTCCCAAGTGTATCCAACCACCCCAGGCTTCTCTGATAGCTCTGGACTGCTGTGACTTTACTGCCATCTAGTGTCAGAATTGGAAAACTGTAAGGTCAGTATTTTGTCTTTCCTTTCTTTTTTAATTTTAAAGATGTGGGGTACAGTTCAGGATTAGGTATACAAGTGGTCATCGTACAGGTAAAGTTTGGGCCTCCCTTTGGTCCTTAGACTTTCCTTTCAACGGGAGAAGGTAGACCATCTTTCCTGTGAATGTGGGCCTATTCTTTCACTAAGCAAATTATCAATAAGAACTTATTTAATTTCAGCGTAGGAAATCTTTATTTTCCTTCTTGGACTCTCTCCTTGGCTTTCATGATAATATGCTCTCTTGTTTTTGTCCTCATGTTTTTCTCTAGCTGTTCTCTCATTCTTCTTTAACACCCATTTCTCCCTTAATATAATTTTTAGCCCTATGTTCTGGCTCTGCTGCTCTTTTTTTTTTTTCTGTTTTCATCCATATCCATGGCTCTATGTACTGTCTGTTTACAGACACATTTATATTTATAGCCAAAAAACTCCTCTGAGCTTGAGACGAAGTATCTGTAGTTGTTTACCTAGATGTTGCCTGAACATTTTAAATTTAACATGCTCCCATCAATATGTAGATCTTCTACCCGCATTCCTATTTCCAAATTTGTTTTTCTAATTTCATTAATCTATCATTAATCTATCATTCTAAAATTCTGGAAATCAGCTTAGCATCCTCTGTCTTTCACATTTTGTTTGCAAAACATAAAGTGTATCTCACTGAATCTGAAAGGTATTAGCTTTTAGGTGCATGTAAAATGTGTGATCTCTTGCCTAAGTAGGCTCTCAGTTAGTCTCCTTGCATTTATTCTTAACTGTATTCACATGTCTTATGTATATTTGTTGAATGTCAGCCTCTCCTACTAACCCGAGAGTTCTGTGATGACAGGGACTGTGCGCATTTGGTTCACCGTTGGGTCCCCAGCATTTTGGGGATATCCTGAAACTTGTTTATTTAACACCTGTGTAACCACTCTGGCTAACTGGTGCTGTTAGTATAGCCTCTGTAGTTTTAGTGACTAAGCTTGGATGTATTAGAATTTGTTAATGCTTTATTGCAGTGTTAGTGTTGTATATGATTTCATTTATCATAACATAAATTTAAATTATTTTCTACTTTTTCGCAGGAAACTTAGTTGTGTCTGAAGGGGCAATATATTTTGGGGCAATATATAATCAGCAAGTGTTCAAATGAATTTTAGGACAACAACCTACTAATATACTGAGAACTACCTGTTGATAAGCTGAACATTTTTTCCTTAAGAACGTGAAATTCCATGCTATTGGTTTGTTTCTTAGCATTCTTCTATCTGAAATTTAATGTTCTTTAATTTTAATATGAAAGTATATTTGTTAAATCGTCAATTAAAACCTGTTTGGGCCAGGCTCGGTGGCTTAGCCTGTAATCCCAGCACTTTGGGAGGCGAGTGGATTGCCTGAGCTCGTGGGTTCAAAACCAACCTGGGCAACTTGGCAAGACCTCATCTCTACAATAAATAAAAAATTAGTCGGGCATGGTAGCGCACTCCTGTAGTTCTGGATACTTGGAAGGCTGAGGCAGAAAGATCCCTGGAGCCCAGCAAGTCGACTCTGGGATGGCCGTGAGTGTGCCACTCCATCTCAAAAACAACAACAACAAAACCTGTTTGACTCTGTGTTTTTTAAATAGAGGCTAATGTATTGATAGTTTCATTTAACAATTTTTGTTTGCATTGATTTTTAAAGATGATTTTGCTTTATCAGATTTTGTTAGTAGGGCTTATTTGCCTACTTCAAGTTGATAATATTGCTCAATAAAGCAATTTAATTTATGGGCAGAGCATGCTGGCTTACACCTGTAATCCCAGTACTTTGGGATGCTGAGGCGGGGAATCACTTGAAGCCAAAAGTTTGAGATCAGCCTGAGCAGCATGGCAAGACCCTGTCTCTAAAAAAAAAAAAAAAAAAAATTAGCCGGTCATGGTGGTATGTGCTTGCAGTTCTAGCTACTTGGGAGGCTGAAGTGGTAGGATCGCTCGAGCCTAAGGATTTCAAGGCTGCAGTGAGCTATGATCGTGCTACTGTATTCCAGTCTGAGCAACAAAGCGAGACCTTATCTCTAAAATAAATAAAATAAATATTCTTTTAATTTAGATAGTTTAACTTATAAAAGTAGAAACAATTTATAAAAAGTTGGTATTTAGAGATGGGCAGCCATCTGCATACTGAGGATGCAAACTCAGCAAGGATTTAATAGATGCATAGCAGTTTCTTATCCTTGGCATTATTAGCATTTTGGACTGGATAGTTTTTCGTATATCTGTGTGTGGAAAGTGTCCTTGACACTGTAGGATTTTAGCAGCATTACTAGCCCCTACCCACCCATGGTACTCCCCACCACTACTTATTTTGTATTTTTTTAGAGACAAGGTTTCACTATATTGGCCAGGCTTGTCTCAAACTCCTAACCTCAGGTGATCCTCCCGCCTCAACCTCCCAAAGTGCTGGGATTACAGCCATTCACCCAACCCAGTCTCCCCCCCACTATGATAACCAAAAATGCCTCTAGACATTGCCAAATTGTCTGGGGATTGGGGTGGGTAAATTACATACCACTTGAAAAACTAGTCGTTTCTGTACTTAGAAGGGGGTAATAGACCATGAAATGTGTTGTTTGGAAAAGCTTTGGCATTCCTAGGTGTTTTTGAGAGTGTGATAACTGTGTGTCATGTTGTTAATGGTAAAGAGAAGTAGAAACTATAGGACTATATGTGTTTTACATTTTAAAACTTGTGCTTGCTTAGAATAAACTTTTACACTTAGCCACCTGGTTCTGTTCCAAACTATGAAAAAGGGTGCATTCTAAATCATATTTTACTAATACAATTTTATTTTGTTAACCGAATCAGCAGTTGGGCGGTGGTAGGAAAAGGGAACCAAGATTGGAAAATGAAGAATAAGCTTATAATCCGTGCTTTTGCATTGTGTTTGTATAAGTAGGGTATAATTAACTTACTTTTTTTTTTCCCCCAAAGGGACGTGAGAGATGGCTTTAGAAGAAAAAGTTTCTACTCTTCCCATTACGTGAGAGACCGGTCTCCTCATAAAAGGGACGCTCCTTTTTTCAGAGAATCACCTGTTGGCCGAAAGGATTCTCCACACAGCAGATCTGGCTCCAGTGTCAGTAGTAGAAGCTACTCTCCAGAAAGAAGCAAAACATACTCTTTCCATCAATCTCAACATAGAAGTAAGTATTTTTATGACTTTTCCTTTTTCTTTTACAACTTCCGCTGATGAGAATATACTGGATCAGATTGCCTTATAGATATTATAAGAAAGATTTTTAAAAAACTTTTTATTGTGAAAAACTTCAAACTTGCAGAAAAGTTGAAAGACCATAATAAACACCACACATACATTTATTGAACTTTCTGTAGTTTTGTAGTACATGACATTTCACCTTTAAGTTTTTCAGCATGCAAAACAACTCTTTGCACTCTTGCCTGAAATTTATATACTCTCATATTTTCCAGTAGTTCCTGTGTCAATCTAACCTCTTTAATCTTCTATCAGGTGATATCTATATATATATCAGATATATTTTTTATATCAGATTCATTTTCCTTTAAAAATATCAGTGGTCTTCCCTAAGTATATGGTATAGCCTTGTAGGATTTAAAACTAAAACCTGCCTTAAGTTTATTCTTTTCCAATTTCCAATTTTTAAAAAATTTAGAATGCCTTGATATATGTGGCAGTCTGTGCAATCATAGCATGTCAGCCTACCTGAGTTGCTTAATATGTATTGAAATAAATGCAAACCATTCCTTGTGGCTTCTGTGTGCAAAGCACTGTGTTAGATACAGTGACTCTGTCATAAAGGAAGAAAATATACACACACATACCACGCACATTTTTCACCAGCTAATAATAAATTTATCAAGATGTTAATATATATAAAATATAACTTTGGTAGAAGAACTGTTATGTTGTAAATGACTCAACGTGACAGAAGCATGTCAAGGCGAGAGAGACATATTCTCATTCTAGGGATAGAAGAGCATTCATGAAGGAGATGACGTTTAGACTCATTCTTAATTCAGACTTCCACAAGTGAAGAATTGTCTTCTAATTAGAAGAAATTATGAGCCATGATACAGAAAACAGAACAGTTCAGGATATTTCATTTTTTTTCTAACTTCCTTCTCATTAACTGTTTTTTCAAATAATTGGAGTTTAATTCAGCAGCTTCTGCCTCCTGCATGATGAGAGTGATGGAAGACCACTTGGAGTCATCAGATTGTCTTCCCTTGAAGCTGTTGCTAGGTTCTTGATTTTGGCAGACATTTATCAGTTGTCTATTATTTGCAGAGATAGGTAGGGTGGGGCTTCCAAAACATGTATTTTTGGATACAGGTGTATGAATGATCATGCAGGAGCCAAGAATGTCATTTGAAGGATTTAAAACAAACATAGCCACATACATATGCCTGATTGCTTAAAATGTGCTTGGTACAGTTCGGGTAACTGGAAGTTTTACTGTCGAGTTTAGTGTTAATGAGTTTTTTCTCTTTTACTTTTATACATTCTACCACCACCACCACCACCACCACCACCACCACACACACACACAGACACACACACAGGCATGCACGCATACATGCACACACATACACATAAAACCTTCAAGAAGATAAACAGCGCTCACATGCATAGACATATCCAGAGTTAGCCAAATACCTTCTAAGAATTTTTTTTGTGGGTGTGTATAATTTAAATCCAAATCCAATAATGATTTGATTAAGAGAAAGAAAATATCCTTGGAAACTGATTATGAACCCTTTTTAACAAAACATTAGTAAAATGGAAGCTTGAGATTCTTACTTGACATCTTGTAGTGAACTTGTTAAGAAGATTATTGGTGAATTAGTCTTATTTTTCCATTTCTTCTCAAAAACAGATTCTGGGAAGAACGTCTTCTGTTGATCTACTTTTGGCTTCTTAGTGGCTGAAACTCTAAATATTGAGATGAGATGTGGATGAGCCACAGTATGGTGCTCCTGTCTTAGGGTCTCCAATATGCCTTACCTATCCTTGAGATCTAATGCCTTTAATATCTGGAGTGATGAAAAGATAAAGCTGATAGACCAAAATATGGGGTAAATCAAATGAAACAGAGCATATGACTTGGCTAATACCTACATGTTTTGTTTTTTTAAGTCATTTAACTTTGAAAGTAAAATTCTTTAATCAAGAGAAAAAGTTTATTCTTTACAAGTACCTTAGTTGACTCCTTAGCTATTTGGGCCGAACTATGAACATTTTTTTCTGTGTTCTTTTTATGCTTTTAGAATAGTTACATAGCTGGGCGCGTTGGCTCAAGCTTGTATTCCCAGCACTTTGGGAGGCCAAGGGCAAGAGGACTGCCTGAACCCAGGGGTTTGAGACCAGCCTGGGCAACTTGGGAGATCTTGTCTCCACAATAAATTCTCCCCCCAAAAAATCAGCTGGGTGTGGTAGCATGCGCCTATAGTTCCAGCTACTTGGAAGGCTGAGGTGGAAGGATCACTTGAGCTCAGCAGGTCGAGGCTGCGGTGGCCATGAGTGTGCCACTGCACTCCAGCCTGCGTGACAGAAACTCCAATTCAAAAAAAAGAAGATCAATTACATAAGATCATCTTGTAAAAAAAGTTCATGGAGAAGTCTTGCTTTAAAAAATAATTAGAATTAATATTAATAATATGTAATTATTGTTCATATTTAGAATGCCGATTTTTGCTTTAAATCTGTCACAAATATTGATGGTATCTGGCTTTTCTTCAAAAAAGGACTGAGAAACAGAAATCTTCATTTAAATTAGCCAGGCGTGGTAGTGTGCACCTGTATTTCCGGCTACTTGGAAGGCTGAGGCGGAAGGATCTCCTGAGCTCAGCAGGTCAACACTGAGGTGGCCATGAGCGAGCCACTGCACTCCAGCCTTTTAAAAAGAAGAAATCTTTAATTATCAGTCACTTAAGCTGTGAAGGTTGTCTTAGTTAACCTTGTGTCCTTTCCCCTTGTTTATTACGTTGTAATTCAGTCTTCTAATATAAATTGAAATTTTGACAAAGATTTTAAATGTTTTTATAAATATAAAAAACAGGTTGAAATAACACTTTTCTTATGCTTTTATTTTTAAAATTCATTAACTTTTGATTTTTTGCTTTTTGTTCTTACTTTTTAGAGTATTTTACCTATTTTAATAATCACCAGTGGTTTGGTCCTGGTAACTGTTATAAGGACTTCATAATTCGTATATGCATTTGATATTTCTCTTACGTTCTTAATTATAAGCCACAGAGTATTTTACTACCTTTTTTTTTTTTCTTTTTGAGTTGGGATTTCATGTTGTCACCCAGGCTGGAATTCAGTGGCTGGAGTGCTGTGATTACAACTCACTGCAGCCTCGACCTTCTGGGTTCAGGCGATTTCTGCCTCAGCCCTCTTGAATAGCTGGGACTACAGGCACACACATCACCATGCCCAGCTAATTAAAAAAAATTTTTTTTTACAGAAGAGGTCTCACTTTGTTGCCTATGCTAGTTTTGAACTCCTGGGCACAAATAATCCTCCTGCTTCAGCCTGCCCAAGTGCTGGGATTACAGGCATGAGCCACTACACCCAACCTACTACATTTTAATTTAACTGCTTATTTCTCATTTTGTGCTGATACACACACATTTTAAATTAAGTGTCTTATACTTAGCCTTTCAAATTAATCTTATGGAACTTTGTGTTACTTCAAACTAATTATCCTAAATCAACCTGTTGTTTTTATCCTGTACTTTACTTGCAAGTATTTTCTGACTATAACTTAGTTGGGCTGACCTGGACATAGCTGTGAGTGCAATATTATTTTCAGTTCCTTTTTGCTGTCTATGTTTACACACTAATAGTGAAGATTGTCTTAGTTAACCTTATGTCCTTTCCCTTTGTTTATTATTATACTTTTCTAATTAAAATTGTTTTGCTATTTGTACTTGTATATTTTTACTTGAAGTTTATTTTTATTGTAATTCATCTAACTCAGTGTCTTCACATTTGTCAACTCTCTCTCCAGTATTTATTTTATGTTTTTCCCCTCTTTGAAATGAATCTTATGTTTTCTTATATCACTTATCTTTTGGATAATAGCGTTCATTAAAATGATGCAGGAAGTCACTAAGTTCAGTCTCTCACACCTGTTCTTTGTTAAAGTTTGTCTGCTGATAAATTTGTTAAATCGCAATCCAGTCCTTCCACTTTTATATGGCTTATTCTTTATAAAAGAATTAAAATCCTTCTCAGTAACATCTACTTAATACTTGTTATCTTAAAGCCATATATAAGGATATTTCTTCCTTTAATGTCATAACCTTTTATATATTGGAAGAGTACCATCATAATCTCCATGATTTTTTTCTCAGGTTTATATATATTTGGTTTCTTTTTTTTTTTTTTAAGTTTTAACACCAAAAATGAACTTTTATTTTGCCAACTGCATTTCATTACTGACTCTTACTGAGATTATAGGCAACTGAAACCTAAGCCATTTTGACATATAATACTATTAAACAAAATGTCCCCAGGCTGTACTTTTTCTTGTGCAATTGTTTATGTGTAGTGAATACATTTTTTAAAATTTGTGTAGAAATACTAAATTTTATCTGGTTAACTGTGGTGGCTTCTTCTGTTGTGTAGAGTTCTTTTCTTTTCATTTAACTTATTTACATTCACTGTTTTTTTTAACACATTCTTTATTGTGATGCTCAGTGGAAAACATCTGTAAACAAACTTACTGTAGTGGTGATGTTCTATAGAGTTCTTAAAATCTCATTTAGTGATCCTGTATGATAGCACCTGATAAGAACAGTATGTTTATTTGCAGATTAGGTATGCCTGATGTGTTTTGTATTATCATTAATAATTATGTTGAGTAGCATAAGACTAAATATTGAAACTTCTAGAGATCTCTCTGTTAACCTCAACCTTTTATCAGCGTACTATGCTGTTATCCAACAGTTGTGATCCCTCATCTTTACTCTTGTCTTCATTTTTACTTGAGGATGTCATGGAATACCTTGTCAGGTGCTTTCTTGAAACTCTTAAGTTACAAAGCATTCTTTTTTTCTATCAAAACAGTGAACAAAAGACTGTCTTGCATTGGTTTTGTAAATCCATTGTGGCTTTTAGAGATGATACTACTTTTTTGTTAATTCTTTCTTAACATTTTTGAGGCTGGGCACAGTGGCTTGCACCTGTAATCCCAGCACTTTGGGAGACTGAGGCAGGAGGATCACTTGAGGCCAGGAGTTTGAGACCAGTCTGAGCAACATAGTGAAACTCCATTTCTACATAAAATTAATGCCAAACTTACCAGTAATACTTAATATTAACTAGGCTGTGTGACATTTTGATTGACTTTTTAAAATATTACTGTTGAAGATTTGCAAATTTACTGCTTTAGTTGGCCCATCATCATTTTTCTACATCTTCAACTTTGAGCCTAACTTCCCCTTTTCTGTGTAATAGAAAAAGACTCAAGACCTGTTGGCTGTGAATACATTTTGAAATCCACATGAATTTTTTAATTATAGCTAAAATTTGAATACAATTTTGAAGTTTAACTCTGCCTTTAGGAGAAGACTTTTCTCTGCAAGTTTGAAGTAGTAGGGATATAGAAATAAGACTTTATCATCAGATCATGTATACTAGGCAGTATAAGAAGGAAGGATAAAGCCATTCTCTTAGCAGCTAGATATCATAGTGTTTCTTGTTTTGAAAGCCACTATATTATGTTAAATACTGACACTGTCTTTTACTCAACAAAAATATATTGAACATAAATGGTTTACCAAGCAAGACAGATCCAATCTCTGTCCTCTGAGTTTATGATCTAGTGAGGGAGACAAACTAACAATTCAATAGGAATAAACATTTTTTATGATATCTGTGTGATGAGCAGAAATTGATGGAAGGACACTGGTGGACAAGGATTATTGGGATGAGCTGTTACTTATGTGGAGTCTCTGAATTATAATTTAATATTTTCTTGAAAAGTCTTGGGCTGTTAATTGATCTAGACTATTAATATGCTATCCTATTAGTTTCTGTAATATATACTTGTTTGAGAAACCATTGTTTACTCACAAGAGAACTTTGTCTATGAATTTCCTGACTGAATCCTAGGAGTACTGACTTTTCTGGGTTCTTAATTATCGAAGTTCTAAAAGAGTAGTTGATTAATGCCATCTGTGTAGGCATTGTATAGCATCCCTGTTTTAGGACTTAGTATGTTCTATCAGTAGCAGCCTTTTGTAATGTGTGCAGATGATGTAATGTTTTATTTCCATGTTTAAAAGTGAACCCATGTGGTTTTAGCTGATGCATTCAGGGAGAACTCTCCCCAGAAGTGCACTTCTAAGTGTTTCTAGTCAATTGGCCTTTACTTCACCTTGTTGCATCTCTGACCTCTGAAAGATGAGCTTGGGGAAAGCAGAGGTGGTGCAAAGCTTTCTCTACCCCTCTACCTGTTTCTTTTCCTTTTTTTTTTTTTTTTTTTTGGTGTCATTAACGTAAGAACGTTTTTCTTGTGTCCCTCCATTTTCTGTTTCATGTCTTCTTGAGTAAGCCAGTAGCTCTCTGAAAAATCATATTCTTCCTCACTAAGAGTCTGAATTCCCTTACCTTCGTCCATGATTCAGAAAAGCAAATCAACTTCTCATTATCTGTGTAGCTCATCAACATTTGTTTATATCTTTTAAATCTTTAGCTGTTAAGAGATGAATGTACTACCTGTGCTATGAAGTTTGTTTTTTTATTGGATTTCTATTCAAAAGTATCTGTTTTGTCCGTTTGCCAAACACTACACCAAGAATCTAATAGTTTTAAGACATAGCCCCAAACTGTGTCATCTGCAATGATGTTTCCTATTTTTTTCTTGGAGTGTCCTTTGTTCCTCCATGGGTTATCAATAATGAATAGCACTTAATAGAGTTGGATGAATCCGGATAGGTTTATCATTGCTTTTCAGCAGGAAAACACACAGGAAAGTATATTTCTGAAAGATCATTATCAGATTTGAATTAGCTATCACATTCAAGGAGTTACCAAATACTTTGAAACTCTTAAGGAATGTCCTGGATGTGTTTTGGGGGCATTAAGCTGCTTCTCCTGTTTTTTATTTCAATTCAATGTGAAAAAGTTTATATGTTGCGCACAGAACCAGTGTTTGAAATTCCTTCTTCCCGATTTATTCTTTTACTCACCAGTATATGGATATGGATTTTGATTTCTGTATTGCTACTTTCAGAATTTGTTTTTCCTGATTTCTTTTCTCCATTCTAATTTGGAACTCTTTTTCTTCAGAAAGTCACATCAAAGGCAGGAATATTTTCAGGCTTTTTATTTTGCTCTCACATGGGGTGTTAGTGTCTGCTTACAAGATTAGATGTGAGATGAATTTGAGATTATGCTAAATAGCTAAGGAGTAGCATCCTGTCAGTTAGAAGGCAGAATAGTGAGTGAAAGAGGCATATCTTAGAGACATTTGTATTTATAGTGTTAGTTGGAGCCAAGGAACAATAGCAGAGCAAAAAGAATTGAGTTTAGGAGGTACACTCACACTGAAAGAAAAATAACCAATTAAAAGAGAGAGAAAGATGTAGTTAGGAAGATGTAGGCTGACAAACCTAGAAGTACAAAGGCATGGAAAATAAATGGTAGACTATTAGGAGAAGTTCCGTGGTTCTGCAGTTCAGCTTGGGTGATTTTACTGGTGTGTTAGGAGATTATTAAATAATCTGAGCCTACTTAAGGCAACATGGATGGGAATCTGTAATGAAGTATGATAATTCCTATGATGTCTGTGAAATTTGGAATCGAAATCAATAAGCACATCCCCAGTGGTATGTTAGTAAACTGGCTCTTCAAGGTTAAAAAGACCAGATTTGTAGCATTTGCTGATATCTGTGGGGTGAAAAATACTCCCATGATGGTAGATTTCAGGCTACCAATGTGTAGTAACTGAACACAAAATTTGGGAGAGATGCGTACAGTCCACCCTCACTAGCTAATGTGGGTTGACCTAATGCTCCATTATACTTCTGTAAAATACCGCTATTCTTATCTCTTAACTTGATTTGATAAAGAACTTGAGACAACTTAATAAAATAAACATTTAATAGAATGGGATTAAATAAATGAATGAATTTTATGTAAAGGGAAATAAGGATAGGACAATGAAGGAATAAAGTTAGTAGTGCATAATAATAAATTAAACCTATCATGAGGCTCTGAACAGTTGCTGTAGATGAACAGTTGCTGTAGATGAACTAAGGTCTGGCCAAAACAAAGCCAAAAGGAATGTAATAGTGTTGACAGTGTACCTCTTAAAAAAATAAGTCAGGAACAAAAAATCAGAGCGACAAAAATTTGCCCGATGCCACAGAGACCTGTGAATTATGAGAAAAAGATACCATCCTCAGCATTATTGCAAGAGTGAGATGGCAATATTTGTATGATATTTCTTGAAACATTTCAAGGCAAAGTGCTGACAATGCCAAACAATTCAGAAAAATCGTGCTCTTTTCTCAGGGAAAAAAAAGTAAAATTGGTAATTTAGATTTACAATAGAAGAATTTGAAATAAATGTTAAGTAGTTTGCATGTTATTGGAAAAATACCTGGGATCCCTGACTAGTATGTTTAGGCTGTTTAGAAAACTGATTTCATCTGCATCATTAATAATTTGCAGATAAGAAAGCTAACAAAATATTTTAAGATTCCAAATATAGGAAAATAAGAAACTCAACAAGTGTCCTTTTTGATTTCTAGTGGTGATTCATCTTTCACTTTTGATTGTATGTATGTGTGTATGTGTAATCCATTACCCATCCTTTGGATGTCACCTTTATGGAGGGAATTAGACTAGGTACTTGGAATGCTGCATAAGACATGATCTTTGTCCTCAACTTTCAATCTTTTATCTTGCTATGTATCTTTCCTCATTCCTTTTTGCCCATGTTATCCTTGACTGGCCTTATCCAAACACTTGCACTTGGCTTCTGGCCATAAACAGAGATTTATTCTGTTTTGTTACTTATTTTTCTTCAATGGTAGTTTTTCAGGCAGCCCAAATTGAAAGCAGGGTAGCACAGAGTTGAGGGTCATCAGAAGATGCTCAGATGTTCCTGTTCTCCTCACTTCTTCTGGGTTCTTCTCTTATTCTTCTTTGGCACAGAGGTGCTGGTGTTGTTAATTCCTCCCTGCCCACCTTTCCCTAGAGTCCGTGCATCCTGGTGCCTTCTTCTACAAACGGCAGAATGAAGGAAAGCCAGAAAGAGGTGAGTTTTGAGCTAGATTCTGATTTGGGATTGTGAAAGGGTGGGAAGCTTGAATTGATCACAGTTATGGAAATGGGAAAAGTATATAGCTCCTCCATTAGTCTATTATTGAAACGAGAAGTTGAGCAACAATAGACCTAGGTACTAGGATTTGGGGGAGGGATTTGTGGGTTGATTCTCTGGTCTAGTCATTCCTGGTCAAGAATAGCCAGGGTAGACAGCTGAGATCTGTAGAAATACATAGGCCATTGGAAGATAGACCCTGACAACAGTGAGTTCAAGCAATTTCTATTTACTTTCTCTGTTCTTTTTTTTGCCATGTGTATCATCTTTTTCTTTGTCCCTTGCTTCTTTTGCCTGTCCCTCCCATTCATGCAACAGGTATATATGAATATATGTATATATATGATAAACCTTCTGCACTGCCTTCAGTGTTCCTTTGCTTCTGCACATGAAATTGCTTGTATCTACTTACGTTAACTTTGAGCAACTACATTCTAGAAAGGTTCTAGACTACACTAGTGGACCATATTTGGCATAGCTACAGTGCTGATGTCCTGTTTGTAAAGAAAGTACTAAGCAAAAGTTTAACAGCAGGTTGTGACAAGATTTTTTTGTTTTTTTGTTTTTCTGTGTTTAGCTGATAAGTGCGAGAGCTGAGACCGTAATTGTACCTTTAAAGAACATAGTGTGCTGTGCTGATTGGTCCAGTGCTTCCTCTCTTTTCAAGGGATTACTTATCTGAATAGGATGGGGAAGACATTGTATCCTAAGGGTAGAAATGTGAGGTTCATCTTTTTACTCAATTTTTGAATGCCTGCTCTTGTCTTTAAGTACTTGAGCTAAGCAGGCTGTGGATATTCATAAATGAGTAAACTGTGATACTTGTTCCTCTGGGAGCTTTTGTTATAATGGGATAGACTGACACTATCACAATACAATGTGAAATTTGCTATGTGCAGTGGAAATAAAATAAGGAATGGCTAAATATATCGTGTTCTTGGGATGCAGTGGTGGTTTGTATCATTTTTCTTTTGATTTTTAAGGTCTACAGGAACTTTTAAAATTTCCTAGTATGAAAGCCTCTCATGCATGGTACCATGAGTTAAAATGCTCTAGAGTTGTCTTTTTAAAAACTATTAGAACTTCAATTGGAATACTCAGCCTAGAGCAGGGGTTCTCAACTTTAGCGCTATTGACAAATGAGGCCAGATAATTCTTTCTTGTGGGGGCTATCCCCTATACCAGAATAGTTAACAGCATCCCTGTCCTATACTTTCTATATGCCAGTGGCACGCTCCCACTTGTGACAATAAAAATAAATCGTCACATATTACCAAATGTCTGGAGTTGGGGAGGTGCAAAATTGTCCTAAATTACGAACCACTTGTCCAGAGAAAGTCTTTTGGGCCTGCAGAACATTGGAAAGAGGTGTTATTCACCACTATCCTAGGTGGTCAGAAGTCTTGGATCCTCCAGGCCCTTACATAGCTGTCTTGACTGTGGCAGGAAGAGCTTAAGAGGCTTTCTGAATGAAGCTGGCTTTGCCTCAGTTTTAAGGTCATCTTATCCTTGCTTTTGCTCTTGACTGCTTTCCTGGCCTTAACTTACTTTCCCGTCTTGACCAGCATCTGTATGACTCCAAACTTGGTGCCACTTTCTCTTTTCCATGCTATTAATGTTGATAATTTTTCTAGCAACTAAGAACAAAGGATTATATGTTAACTTAGTTGACGAATATAGACAATTTAATGAAATGTTTTTCTGTCAGTAACAGCTCACTGTTGTTAATTTTTAAGAGTATATTTAATTAAACCCATCTCTTTGGTAGTTAAAACTGTTAAAGTGTTTTTTCTGACTTAAATTTCTATTAAAAAATGGTGTGCATACAGCACTGTATGAGTGTCTGTAGTGACTAAAGATGAAGATTAATGACTATCTTGTACAGATTCATTTTTAAGCATTTAACAAGTATTCGGGTAATCATTCATGTCAGGCACTGGATTGGTGCTCTGAATTCTAGTTTTCTGATTTTATTTTTTAAATGGTCTAAACATTTCAGGAATTTCCTTTATACAGCTCTCCTTGAGTTTCCCCTTAATTAGGTAGTTCACCTTGGTGGTATCTGTATAGTAACTACCTTTGTATTTTTGTGTTACATTAAAAATTAGCATTTAGGTGCATGGAAGAGGAAGCATTTATGATTTTAAAATGTGTTGCCTTTCTTGAGGTCTCTGTGAGTCCATATTTACTGACTGGCAGTGGTGTGGCCTAGGCTGCTTTATATGATATCCTTTGGTTTGGGGTTAATTTAGATTTTTGGTGGTACTCAGACTCTGAGAGAGAGAGAGAGGTAGTTTTAGATGTTGGCATATTTAATTTAATAAAGTAATGAAAGATTTCAGTACTAAGATAAGTATATGTCCCCCTCTCATTAATTCATTTGTAAAATCACTTAATTAAAAACAAATGAGCTAGAAAAAAATTACATCTTATATTTCATTATATAGGTAAAGAGAGACCTGTCCAGTCTTTGAAAACATCAAGAGACACTTCACCCTCAAGTTCTTCAGCAGTTCCTTCATCAAAGGTTTGTTCTATTTCTAAAAATCAGTTTAAAGAATTACAAAGTAGCCTGGCTTGGTGGCTCAGCCTGGGAAGCTGAGGTGAGTGGATTGCCTAAGCCCACGGGTTCGAGACCCACCTGGGCAACTTGGTGAGACCTCATCTCTACAATAAATCAAAAAATTAGACAGGTGTGGTAGCGCATGCCTGTAGTTCCAGCTACTTGGAAGGCTGAGGCGGAAGGATCGTCAGAGGCCGGCAGGTCGAGACTGCAGTGGCTGGGAGTGGCCACTGCTGCACTCCAGTCTGGGTGACAGAGCGAGACTCCAACTCAAAAAAAAAAAAAGAATTACAAAGTAAATGAGATGGACTGACTTGTACAGATGCTTTTATTCTTATTGTTATCCTATGGGGCTAATTTGTGGCATTTAAAAACTTGAACTTTAAATAACTACAACTTAAAAATAGCTACCAGAGTAAATAGGCAGCTTTCCATAGAGTTTTTTTCCATATGGTATGCAAAAATCAACCCTTGCTCTCATCTTGACCATAAACCAGGTTGGAATAATATTCAGATGGGACATATTTGGTGGATTGTGCTTTTATTTGGGGTGTTGGGGGTATAGGCATATCCTAACATGTACTGTATAACTACTTAATTCTAGGTACTATGTTAAATATATTTTTCTCTTATTAATTCATATAGAAATCTTATCATATAGGTCGGTATATATCTTCATTCTGCAGCAGGGTGAAGGCTCAGCAGATCAATACTTTTCTTTCTTTTTTTTTTTTTGAGTTGGAGTCTCACTCTGTTGCCCAGGCTGGAGTGCAGTGGCATGCATGTTCACGGCCACCCCAGCGTCGACCTGCTGAGTTCAGGCCGTCCTTCCACCTCAGCCTTCCAAGTAGCTGGAACTATAGGCCAGCACTACCACACCCGGCTTATATTTTGATGTATTGTAGAGATGAGATCTTGCCAAGTTGCCCAAGCTGTTCTGGAGCCTGTGGGCTCAGGCAGTCACCTCACTTCGGCCTCCCAAAGTGCTGGGATTACAAGCTTGAGCCACAGCACCTGGCCAATAATTTTCTTAAGAACATAGCTACTCACTCTCACTGTACCATTATTCTCATTCCTACCTTCCTGGCATCCTAAAACATATTGAAAAAATGACTCATGCTTCTGATCCTCAAAAATTAAAAATTTGACAAGTTGCTGTTTCCATTGTTCCTTTCAGTTAGAGGTCCTCTTCACAGATATCACACCCTTTCTATTCAGCAAGGCTGTTGTCTTCACTTTTTGTTCTTTTGACCATTATATTTTTGGACAAAGTGTAGATATCATCTGGCAGTCTGTGCTGGCCATTCATGGGGCAGCTGCTTCTCTGCCTAGAAGAAAAACAAATTCTTTGTGACATTTGTGTCCTCAGAACTTTCCCAGATGTCTGAGGATTCTAGAATGCTGGACTTGAATGACAAAGATTGATTGAATTATTTGGTTTGGTCTTAACCATATTATGGGTGCTTTTACCTACCTGAAAGACTGATTTTTTTTTTCTTTCAGGTAATGAAGGAAGAGTAATTAGTTCCTGCCCATCCAAGCCACTATAAAAAGTTAAATTGTTTTATATAAAATATTTTCTCCTGAAATGCAGTGCTATCTAAATATAAATTGCAACATAGGACTTTGTGCTACATGTTAAAATAGGTTTAATGGGAAACAACCATAAGGGATTTTAGCAATTTTTTGACTGATAGTTTCATGTAAATGCTTGCATTTTTGTTACATAGACCATACATCTTAAAATGGAATCAGAATATCAGAATTTTAGATCCATACTTATTTTATGTATTGGGAAAGTGCAGCCTTCTGTGTTCTTTGCTCAGGGTCACATGGTAGTTTGAGGAACTTTATTATGTAAAAATCCTGATTTGGTGGAGGACCCTTTTTTTCCCTTTTTAATTTGAGAATCATGGAATATATGTGAGAGTTGTTATACAGGTATATTGTGTGAAGGTGAGGTTTGGGCTTCTGATGAGCCCGCCCCAACCCACCCTTCCACCATAATGACATGGTACCCAGTGGGTGGTTTTGTATCCCTTATTCCCTCTCCCTTTTACAAGTACCTAGTATCTTGTTTCCATCCTTGTGCCCAGTGTTTAGCACTTACTTATGAATGAGAAAATGCGATATTCAGTTTTATGTTTTTGTGATAATTCACTTAGAATGATTGTTTCCAGCTGCATCCATGTTGTTGCAAAGGGCATGATTTTGTTCTTTATGGCTTTGTAGTGTTCCATAGTATATATGTACCACATTTTCTTTATTTAGACTACTGTCAATGGGCATCTGGGTTGGTTCCATGTTTTTGCTTTTGTGAGTAGTGCTACGATAAACATAAGAGTGCTGTTGTCTTTTTTGATGAACAATTTATGTTCCTTTAGGTATATTTCCAGAAGTGGGATTCCTGGGTCAAATGTTACTCTGTTTTTCTTTGAGAAATTGGTAGAGGTCTTTTTCATGTAAGCATTATGACCTACATGTAGGACTACTTTTTCAGAGTTTATTTCCTCCTGTTAGAAGTGCAACCCTGAGGGTTCTAGGAGTTAGTTTCAAATGGTCATTTTCAAGTGTTTAATTTAATGAATAGAAAGATTGAGTTATAGTGGGTTTTTGCTTTATTCTTCACTAGAGAGAACTCGTATAAATATTTGCTTTTGTGCTGTAACTTACTCTTAAACAGATATACACCCCCCCTTCCCAAGGGCGGAGGGAACTACATGGAGTATACATTTTTTTTTTTTGATATAATCATGTATGTGTTTTCTGTTTCTAACTTTAAAAAAAAACTTTCCATTACTAAGTTATAATAAATATTATTTTTAATAACTTTTGACCTAATATTATGGGCAGGGCTTTAGATTGAGCTATTGAAGCTTCCCCAATGACTATGAAATACTTCATGTAGATATTTTAGTAAATATTACAGATGACCAGCCAGTAGTTTGGTGGATTTAATAAAGTATGGAAGGAGATCGAGTTCCCTTTTCAATTTTAAGATCTAATTTCAAGTCCAGCTCAACATTTATTAGTGACTTTGGGCAAGTCACTATCATTCAGTTTCTTGTTTTATAAAGTGGGATAATATACCCTACCCTGATCACCTTCATGGAATTCTGTTAAGAAAAATTACTTCTTTTTGTTTGTAAATAAAAGCACTTTGTAAGTGCCATGCACCATAAGATAGAGGGTTTTTACTGGCAGTGTCATCCATAGGAGGTTTATTTGGAATCAGTGTGACTTTAGAGAAATAAGAGATGGGGACACAATTAGGCATGGCAGGGCCTAGTTGATGAAAATGTATGCTGAAGACTTAGAATGGAATCAGTTACCATAGGAGCCCTAAGGAAAGGATTTTAACTTGTGCTTTACAATTTTACATCTTATCGTACAACATAAGCCTTTAAACAGTAGTGTGGGAATTATATCTGATCCAGGAAAGGCATTTTATTTTCTCTCTTTTTATATTAATCCCTATGAGCTGATTGATCTTCAAATTTATGTTAGTATAACAGATTCATATAAATGAATATGGAAAAGAAAGAAAAACTAAAGTACTAAGCATTATTTTAAAGACTCTTAGATCTGTTACCTCTCTTAATTCTCACAACTGCTTTGTAAAAAAAAGTATTAGTAACTCCTACTTTGTAAATGAGGAAACCAAGACTCACAGTGGCATAGGTTATGTATATATAATCATCTACTTAGCAAGTCATTAAACTACAATTCAGACCCAGGTCTGTCTGTATCTACAAAACCCATATCTTGTTTAGTATTGTATGTAGTTAGAGAAAGAACTAGTAGTAGAATCAAAAAATGAATTTTTTTGTAATGAGTAGGATTTATATAATGTATTATACGTTATAAAAATAGCATGTCTGTTGCATTAATTAGGAATGTACCTTAATGAAATTTGGCCACTATTTATTTTATTGAATATAATTAAAGACACAAAGTTGAAATCAGTATGATGTCTTTTCTATTCAAAGTACAATTGTTATATAAATTAATTGTCAGTGTCTTTTGCTTTGTTCCTTAGATGAAATTCTAGAATTGTATGTAAATAAGATTATGAGTCAGAGCAGAGCAAAGGAATTGCTACTTAAACGAATTCTATGTTGAATATTTTTGAAAGAGCAAATAAAGAATGTACCTGTTCTCCATATAAATTTGAAAGTTTATATGATTTTAAGTGTAAGTAGGATGTACTTCTTGGTGTATTTGAAGTTCAAAAGCCCTTGAGAATTATAACAGAAATGCCCTTTTATTTTTATTAGGTGTTAGACAAACCCAGTAGGCTCAGTGAAAAGGAACTTGTTGAGGCTGCAAGCAAGTGGGCTGCTGAAAAGCTAGAGAAGTCAGATGAGAGTAACTTGCCTGAAATTTCCGAGTTTGAGGTAAGGCATAATTTCTCCTTTATGTTTCACATCTGAACGTTTTGTCTGGATTTTAACTTATGGGTGGAAAATATTTGGTTTATTTTAATACTTTAAAATATATCCTAATGGATTATGGGTATTAAAATTTACCACACAGATTGATTGACTACAAATGACTCTGAATTCAGTAATCATACTCTGAATGTCTCCAGTTGTTTAGGAGTGTAAGAATTGTATAAATATGGAGCATAAGAAAAAGGCATTATTTACTTATTTCTTTTAATAGGCTTTGCTGTTAAAAGTATTTCAGGAAATCATGCTAAGCTACCAGTCATAAACCATGAATTTAGAAGAAATATCTAATTTGACCTTGGATTGCCTACTATATTTATATTGCATGTTGTATTTTATATTGTATGTTATCTCACAAATGTACCAAGAAATGAAATTATTCATTGTTGGGACTACTTGAGACCTTTGATGAGTCTAAAGTGCCAAAAGATGAGAACATTTTTGGACCCATAGAAAATGATTTGTGACATGTTTGTATTAAAACATCTGAAAGTGAACTAAAAAATTTCTCTATAACCTATAATACCTCTAAAACAGAAAATTGACTAATTATTTGACATGGTAGGTAGAAAATATAAAATATCTCACACAATGACAAATTATTTATATTTGAAGGAGAATTCTGGCTTTTTATTCTACTTTTGGATAACTTTTATAGAAGATACAAGCATTGGTATATAAAAATAATACTTAATTACATCTTCACAAACTGTGAAAAGATCCTTTCCAAAATAATTTATGCTGCTTATAAAAAGTACAAACCCCATCAGAACTTATGCAAATAGAACCTTTCTTTTTTAAAATGCTTATCTATCTTTTAGATATCAATTGTTTCTAAGTAGCTCAAGGTTTCTTTGTTATTGTAACTATAATAGTAAATATTTGTGCATATTCTCAAATGTATCAAAAACACCAAGCTATCCCTCTTTGGTACTTTTCCAGCACTATTTAAAAGCCTGAACAATACAGTAATACATTTAATAGGACTATTTTGGTTATTTTCTTAATAATTTAGAAATGGTATTACATTAATAAATAAATGTGCTTCAAAATTGCTTTTTTATAGTACTTAAAACCAAAACTTCCTAAAAGACTAGTTTCTTGTTTAATTCATCTTCAATTAGCTATACTTTATTAATATATGTACATATTTAGGCATTATTAATATACAAGCAAAGATTTATATAATAGTGGAGTTACCTCTGCTCCCATTATTTTTTTTATTTGTGTGTTTGAGTCGGAGTTTTACTCTGTCTCCCAGGCTGGTGTGCAGTGGCACTCTCATGACTATTGCAATCAATCTGCAGGGCTCAGGCAGTCCTTCCACCTCAGCCTTCCAGGTAGCACCACAATGTCTGGCTAATTTTAAAATTTATTTCAGAGGTGTAGTCTCGCCAAATTGCCCAGGCTGGTCTCGAGCCCCTGGGCTCAGGCAATCCTCTTGCCTCCATCTTCCAAAGTGTTGGGATTATAGACGTGAGCCACCACACCCACACCTGACTTGCTCCCATTATTTTTTATTTCTCTTAATTTAAAAAAAAAATCTTACTGCCATTCTCAAATTTAAATATTCAACTTAGATTCTGTCATTGCTTGAATGGATCTTGACATTGAATGGACTTTTTAAAACCTCTGGTTTTTTTCCTCCAAAATTTATCTGGAATTTGCTAGATTTTGAATTAATGAAAAGTAAATAACCCTAAAAACCTGTAAGTGGAGTTGCAGGTCAGACACAACTATTGTTGGATCAAAGGCAAGATATGGAAGAGTAGGATTGAGATTACATCTTAGTATGTTTGTGACTTGGTGTGTATCATTCATGTTGAATAACAGCATCAATTTTATACCATTCTCTAAAATGATTTTCAAGGAGATTGGTACTTTTCCATACTGGAAATAAAGCAGTTGGGAAATTTTTGTGATAGTCTTTGTAAACTTAATTCCAATATATCATTACTATTTTGTTCATTTAATGTTTTGCTCATTAATAGTTTGCTCATTTGTTCTCGGACTGTTGTTAAATAGTTACTCATGCAGTGATTCATGTTCTTTGTGAAATAGAATTTTGACCTTGGTCCTGTAAAATTGTATCTGATTTGACAATAACTTGGAAAGAAAGAAGGTCTTTGCTAAGAAAGAGCTGTTCATGTGTGTATGCGTGCACACACATGTGTGTGTTTAAACTAGTGGCAATGCTAGATTATATTAGTTATTTGAGTAATGGTTCATGTACTTGAGAAACATTGTGTAGATTCATTTTTATGAATTGAAAGAGATTGAACGCTTGTGTTTCCAGCTTGTCTTCTCTTGCTGCCATTGGTATACTACACCATACCAGTATATTGAAGAAGAAAAAGCAAACTTTATTAGTCAGTCTATTTGGGAAATGCTAGTTTTAAAAGTTAGAGCTTGATTTTGATGTTTCAGTACTTTTAAAAGATTGTAATATATTAATATGCCTCAGTGTTCAGTAAAAGGATGATGAATAATAAAGTTACCATAATTTGCCAAACTTTTGAATATGACATTTTTTCAGTGTATATTTTAGGATCAGTGTTTTAAGGAACACATGTTCAGAAAAAAAAAATACTATACTACTGCTCTCATAGTTTATTTAAAGTCGCCAAGTATGCATTCTTCATCTATTTGTGTCAAGCCCTGCATTTGAGACACATCTTTTAACCATCCATTAAGGAAATTGCAGTCAGGACTTATAGTGATGTAATTTACTATCTTAAACAAATATCTGTGAGAGTTTTGCTTTTGGCTGTCAGGATGAAAAGCACAGTATTTGGAGGCTGTTAGAATGTCCCAACAGAATAGGTCACCTTCTGCTATAGAAGAAAGTTTTCAAGTGTATTTTAAGTTTAAGTGAGAAAATATGACATATATTGTTTGCATATATAGCATGTTATTTTCTACTTCAACTTACTTTGCTGCACTTACTTTGTTCTTAGTCTAGAATGCCTATCTTCCATTCATATTTATTCAGTAAAATCAATAGTGTTTGAGATAATAAGACTCAGGATTTTTTTCCTTTTTACTACTTACTATAAAATGTTATGCCACTTTGTATTTCACTGATGACCTTACTAATATTTTTTTGTTGTCCAGCTATGTATATTGACTGTATCTCAAATACTTGCTTTGTTTTTCCTGCAGTTCCTTGGACAATATATATCGAATTAATTAAATTTAATTGCTAATGACTCTTTGAAGTTAAATGTCAATTAAGTTTTTTTTTCTTCTTTACTTTTTGTTTTTCAGAAACTCATATCTGCTCTGGTGACTTCATGTGCTCACTAATTTACATTTTTGTATGTAGACCTATGTCTTAGTTATGTGCTGTTATAATAGAATACCTGAGACTGGGTACTTTACAAAAAACCCAGACATTTATTTCTTATAGTTCTGGAGGCTGGGAAGTCCAAGATCAAGGCACAGGCAGATTGGTGTCTGGTCAGGGCCTAGTCTCTGATTCCAAGATGGATGGAATGCTGCATTCTCTGGAGAGAAGGAACACTGTCCCTCACATAGCAGAAGAGTGGAAGAGCAAAATGAGCAAGAGCTCACTCCTGAAAGCCATTTTGTAACCCTTTTCCCATTGCCTCTAGAGTGTTCTCCTGCGGTGCTTGCGACTGTGGCATTTACCCTGAAATAACTCATGGATTCTAGTCCAAACCCCCAGAGTTTGCCACAAAATATTTCCCTTTTATTATTATTTTTGCATTGCTCTAATAAATCAATAGTCTTTGGAAACAAATTATATCATTCTGTTTATAGCATTCTATTTTTAGTAGTGGTATTTTCATTTGCAAGGTATAGTAATTGTTTACAAGTAATTCTTGATCACCGAAAATGTCAAATCCCAGGAAACATAGCATTTCTATGTGTGATGTTAAGACTTAAAAAAGTTATTAAACACTGATCATCACATACATTTCTGTTATATTAGGATTAGAGACAAGTTCTGTTTAGAAATAACTCCAAGAACAATTTTTATATTTTATTTTCACATTGAAAACCAGTCAGATTTGTTTTAGTCTCAAAGAGCGTATTTATGTAAAATTAAATGGACATGGCAACAAGCTGCATTTTTTTTAAGATTAGAAAATATGTTTATTTAGAAAGTAAATTAGAGAGAGAGAGAAAAGGGGATTCACCTCCCCAGAGTAGGGAAGGGGGCCAAAGCCAGGAAACATGGCGACAGCCATGGCTCAAAGAGCACATGGCCACACTAGCGTCTAGTAAGGCAATAACTTGGCAGTGGTCCGCTTTTTTTTTTTTTCTAAACAGGAAATGGATTAAAGCCATTAAACCCACACATGAAGGCAGAGGAACAACTTGGGAGTAAGAAGTAGGAAGGAAGGACCACACTGCAAATACTTAGCTACCATTTGTATTTCTGATATGTTCATGTATCATCTACTAAAAAACCCCCTAGTTTGGGTTACATGTTTTAAGGGATGTAAACTGAAAGCATAACTCTCATTTAATAAATACATTCTACTAACAGTAAGAGGTTTCTAACACTAGGTTATTACATTCACATTATTATTATGTAATCCACGCATGAAATACTCAATTTATGTGTCTCTTCTATGAGATAGATACTTCCAAGTCATTCCTATTGAGACAACTTCTTTTATCGTTTTTTCCATAGATGATATCGTCCCAGATGGTATACTTCTATACTTAACCCCCTTCCTTGCTTTTTTTAGACACCATTCACAGTATAATCATAAAAAATAGTTACCAGTCTGGGATTTATTCACTATTGAATTATTGCCCTAAAACATAAGTGATCATTATTGCTTTTAGGGATTGCTTTTTTCTAAATGATTTCTGTAAATCTTAGGCTACAGGAGCAAGATGTTATTAACTTCTGAAAATAGAGACTTTCTCATGTTCCCTTTTAATGTATTACTTTTTGTGTACACATACCTCTCACTTCCAGTTGGACATTTTCTCCTCAGTATTTTGTAAGTAGATTGTTTGAGTAATAATCATGGGACAAAATCTTTCTTTCTATATCTTTATGTGGTATGGAATATAATTTTGGAATGGAATGAGCCTAGAGGCTTTGTCTTACCTAAAATTTAAAAAAATAGCCATCTTTTCCTCTTTAATCCTCTTCACATATGCTCATTATGCATAGTGAAATTGAAAGAGTTTTTTTTGTCTTAAAACAGGTTAAATTCAGCACTTTCTCTGAATATAATCTGCCAGTTACTGCCTGTACACAGCCATCTGAAACGCTCTGTGCTCTTTAAGAAAGTAATGAAAGATTTCCAATTATTTTTCAAGACGGGATCCACAGCACCGTTGTTCATTGACCAGCCAGAAGAACCTGAGTCAAATGCAACAGATGGCATAGAATTATTTGAAGACAGCCAGCTAACCAGTCGCTCTAAAGCAATAGCATCAAAAACCAAAGAGATCGAAGAGGTCAGAATCCAGTCTTTTTAAAGTACATAATCTTTTGTTGATATCACTTTGTACATGTCAACTTATATTGAATAAGTAATGCCTCATTTCTGCTTCCACTTTTGACTCTCAAATAGCAACTTTAAAAAATTATAAAAATTGAGTTGATTTTGTAGTTATTTTGATCCGTATGATCCCCCCGTCCTGGTTTGTTTATTTTTAGAGACTATTAGTATGCCGGTTTGTATGAAGCAGATAAAAACTTATTAAACTTAATAGGGATGGAATGGAAGAAATGTTCAGTATAACAAAATATTGGCAAATGTTTTTTAATACTGGGATTACAGATGTTGCTTACATTTTTTATTATAATTTTAAATATTTCCCAAATATTAAAGAAAAAGGTAGTATTTAAGTCAAATTTTTTAGTGATGTCCTGAAAAGTAGGATTTTATTTTTAATATGTAACTGTTACCTACTTCATAGGTATTATATTTTTATGAGGCTTAAATTAAGTAAATAAGGTATGAAAGGACTTTATAAAATATAACATGTCATACAGGTGCTCATTTTTGATGTTGTTATTCTCCAGTGCCTTGAATAAATGTCATTATAGTGTTATATAATTTTCTAGAAACTGTTGGAAATTAACAAAATTAAGCCTTTTCTTAAGGTGCTGTTCAATTTCCACATCAATTAAAATCTGGTTCCCTTGGTTACAGTTTTAGTTAAGCCTAGATATGATTGTGTAGCTTATGTTGATGCTACACCAATGTCAAAAGATAAGAACCTGCACAGGAAATTTGTTATGCAAACCAGCAGAGTTTCAAAATGAAGGCTGCCAGCAGTATCAGATTCTAAGAGGAATATAAGGAAAATGGAGACTCAGAAAATCCTTTTTAGTTTGGTAATATAGCACTGTCTTTCAAGATACCAATTAAATTAGAGCTTAAAGATTTCTAGATGAATCTTGAACACAAAGATGAATGTTGTTGTCCTTTATACGTTAGTGTTCTTCTGTCTTTTTACTGACCTTTTTGTTGGTATATGTATATGTATAAAGCCACTTGACATATGTTTTTGTTTCTTAGAATAATGCTCCATGAGAGCAAGGACTTTGTTATTTTATTGCTTTATATATCTCCCATCACCCGGAACAGTGTGTATTATAGACTTATAAGATTTACTCACTGGATGACTGATGCATGGAATCATATAGCTGAAAGTGACCTTTGAGTAGTCCTTGAGTTGCTTGAAATCAGACTATATCTTAACCTCACCATCTGACGTGGTACCTAGGTCAGCACTTGGTAGTAAATGCTTGATAAGTATTTATTAAATGAATAATTATATAATGTTACTTCTTTTTTCCACCTAAATTGTAGTTCTTTAAAGAGAGGTTCTCTTACAAATATAACTGATAGAAAATCTTGACTTAAATAACAGAGGATAAGGGATTATTTGGGGTTGCCATTTATTAATATTTCTACTATCTCATAGTATTATCCATAGTTGATTTTTTTTTGTTTGTTTTTTAGAAAAATGTCATCTAGGCTGGAGTGCAGTAGCATGATCACGACTCACTGCGGCCTCAAACTCCTGTGCTCAGGCAGTCTTCCCATCTCAGCCTCCCAATTAGCTGGGACTACAGGCATATAGGCACCATGCCAGACTAATATTTTTATGTTTTTGTAGAGTTGAGGTCTTGCTATGCTGCCTAAGCTAATCTTGAACTCCTGGGCTCAAGCAGTCCTTCCACCTCGGCCTCCCAAAGTTCTGGGACATGAGCCACCATGCCCAGCCTTCTCTTTTCTTTTTAATTTTTTTCTCTGCTGCTTAAATCAGCATCTTTTTAAAAAACCTTATTGGCTCTTTCAGAACACTATCCTAACATAATGCTGTTTTATGAACATGTTTATATTTCTACTTATAAGTATGTTCTCTGTTGAAAGAAGAGTTGATTATTTAGTTATCAGATAGTTTATAGTTAAAATGTAGACAGTAATCATTTCATATGCACAGAGAGCACCATTCTGAGGTTCTTAAACATGAAGAAATAGAGTACTCACGGACACTTGGTGGAAGGGATTGGTTATCTTGGTTTCATTTTCTTTCTTTTAACTTCAAAATACTTAACCTGAATATATATCTGTTTTTAGTAAAGGCATGGTTTATAGTCATAGCTATGCCAGCCTCATTATGTCAAGAAAATTTTCTTTTTTAACCATCTGGGAACTCCTTTCCTTACTCTAGTTAGCTAGGAAAAATCCAGTTAATTCAGAATTCATTTTATTGCATGTTTGGTATTAGCTTATAGATTAATAAATCTATTTTTATGTCTAAATTGGTCTACTTAATGTATTAAATTTTATTTTATTTTAAATTCTACACTAAGCCTGTTTTTGTGACCATGTAGTTTCCTTACTAGCTTTTATTCACTTTTCCCTCAAAGAAAGAAGGTTGGACTGAATAATCTTACACCTAAGATTATTTTTTATCTAAAGCATACCAAAAATTAAAAGCTAAATATTGCTTCTTCTGTACACACTGTTATGTGTAGCTAATTTCACATTTGACTATGGAATTTTTAGGTGTTTTGCCTTTTTTTTTAAAGCCTCTTTCTTAATAAGTATACAGGGTTCTTATGTAAAAATATGTTTTTTAAAAACCCTCAGATATACTACTGTTACATATCAGTAATTAGTATTTTTTGAGTTAATGAATTGTGCAGAACGTTTTCTTTGTGAATAAGATGTTACGTTTAACCTAAGTGTTGTAGCTATGGCCCTCTTTTCTTTTTTTTTCTTTTTTGGAAGTTTATATATGAGGTGAAACCTCCCCCCAAAAAACTCGAATTATCTTTTAGAGAGTGGGCCCCGTAGAGTACACTTGAAATTTATTCCTCTGGATCAAACAGTCAACCAAAGTTTTTATCTGGAAGATTTGAGAAAGTTGCATCACGATTTGTGGGAGAAACATGCTGAGTTTCAGCAAACAAGTGACTGGTTCTTCCATCAGGACAATGTACCTGCCCACACCACGCTGAGTGTTCAGCAGTTTTTGGCCCAAAATAGCATGACCCTTGCACCCCATCCTCCCTATTCGCCTGATCTTGCCCCGAGCGACTTTTTTTTTGGTTTTCTCGGATGAAAAAAATTCCTCAAAGGGAAACGTTTTGTCAGTGTGGAATAAGTGAAACAAAAAACAGCAGAAGCCCTACAAGACATCAAAACTGATGAGCCCAGAAGCTGTTGTGAGCAGTGGAAAAAGTGTCTCGATAGGTATATTGCATCAAACGGAGAGTACCGTGAAGGTGACTGAAGTTTAAACGTGTAAGAATAAATACACAATTAAAAAAAATTTTTTTTATTGTAGAGATATGAGGTACAATCCAGGGTTAGGTACACAAACATTGATCATGCAGGTACCCCTGTTAATGAGGTATGCCCCTCCCTCCCCTAGCAGTTTCCCTCAACTGCCAACACCCCCCCCAACAGTTTCCCATCACTGCCAATCGCTTTCCCATAGCATTGTAATACATAATTTTTTTAATAAATAAATTGCTTTTTTGGGGGGGGCTTGTATTTTCTTTTGTTATTTTAAATTTCTTTTTTTTATTTGTCTTTATTTCAGTAGCTTTAGGGGGTACAGATAGTTTTTGGTCTGAACTTTAAGTATACCCATCACCCCTACCTGTGCACATTGTACTCGGTTGAGTTTTAGCTACTATTCTTAGCTTGAGGATTCCCACCACTCTCACTAGCTCTCGTTCTTTCTCTTTCATATGTGATAGACTACTATTATTTTACTTTTAAAGTGGATAGCAGTTAAGATTAATCATATGTATGATCTTCTTGAAAATGTTGACTAGAGTTGTAGACATGGAAAAGCATTCGTTCAGCTTTTAGCGTATGATAAGATTAAAATGAAATTGTTTTCGAAGTAGTGCAGTTGTATCTATTGTTGTGTTCATGATCTAAGCATTTCATAGTAACCTTACATAATAGAAACATTCTTTGTTTTTCCTTTTTATCAGAGCAAGTAACAAATATTCTTAAAAGTACAGCTCTTACCACTATCTTGTCTAGACATCAAGTCTACCCTACTGTATTTAACAATCCATTATTACCAACCACTTGTTCAGACTTTACATATATAGATTTAGTAAAATATATTCACATTTAATTTATCTTTGAAAATTTTATATTCCCAAAACAAACTGAAAATAATTTACTTTGGCCTAATTTCAAAGTTTTTGAACGTTCCAATTTACCAGATAGATTTCTGGTCATGCTGTTACTACATAAGCTTGTTCTTGAAGCACAAATATAAAGTTTTTATTTAGGAAAATTTCATCTAAAAGTTATAAGGTAATTTTTATTATACTTGAAATGTCAAAATCAAGCATCTCAGCCCTTAGATTTATAGGTCAGTCATTTTATAACTACTATAAGTCCATAAATAGGAAGTTTGCTAATTCTGTTAAGGGATTATTTTCATGTCAGTATAAAATGTAGGCAGTACAGGTACAAAGCCTTATAAGAACTTAAAATGGTATGCACACAACACAGGATGAGGCCATCTTAGATCTTGTCCCTGGGGATGCTATCACTGAAACAAAAGTACCCAATTATAAAGCACTCCCAGGAAAGGTGTTAGGCATAAGCCCAAGCATAAGCTTTATTTTCTCACTTATCCTCCTTATCCACTGTCTACCAGTGTTAAGTAAGGATTTTTTTTTACTGTTCCTTGGTATTCAGTTTTACTTTGTAAGTTAACAATTGTATTTAGTCTCTGGATACTTCACACTAAGGACATTTATAAATAGCATGGTATAATGAACATTACTGGATGTTTCCACCAGTGTTTTTATTGTTTAACTTCTCAGAGTCGTCCTCCCCCCCCCCTTTTTTTTCCTTCTGGAAATTAGGATCTTGTTGTGTTGCCCAGGCTGGACTTGAACTCCTAGGCTCAAGGGATTCTCCTGCCTCAGCCTTCTTAGTATCTGGGACTACAGGCAA